ATTGGTTCAAAACCCTGGACTTGCTAGAATTATAAACTTAATTCTCAGGCATGAACATTGGGGCACTGGTAAAGAATAACATATACCAGTTTTTGACCCAATCAATGCACCCAAGTTGTCAGCAGTAACCAATTGGTTACCACTGACAATCAGAAACCTGTACTTTGTTAAGCTATGTTACGGCAATAAAATGTGCTATTGGCCCACTGGTAAACAACAGCTTGCATCAATTTTTGGACCAATCAGTGTACCACTGTTGTCAGCAGTAACTAATTGGTTACCACTGGCATTCAGAGACCTGCTGTACTTTTTTAAGCTTTGTTCCGGCAACAAAATATGCTATCGGCCCACTAGTTGAAATCATAAATGAACATAAAAGTCTTGTTCTCTTATATGGAATTTTTGTTATATGATGGCTGCTGTTGTACTATGAGTAATAAGGGATGTTGACAATTCATGTTCTCTTATTTTTCATGTGGCCATGTTGACAATTTTGATTGACTAGAAGTAGACCGGTTCTTGACATCTAAATGTATGTGTTTAAAACTTTAAACCTGCTAATCATAAACTTAACTCAGCCATGAACGTTGGGATTTGGGACACTGGCAAATAACAGCATACAAGTTTTTTGATCCAATCAATGCACCGGAGTTGTCATCAGTAACCGACTGAGTACCACTGACAATCAGAAACCTGTATTTTGTTAAGCTATGTCACAGCAATGAAATATGCTATTGGCCCACTGGTTAACAACAACTTACATCAGTCTTTGAACAAATCAGTGTACCACTGTTGTCAGTAGTAACTATTTGGTTACCACTTGCAATCAGAAACCTGTACTTTGTAAAGCTCTGTTCTGACAACAATATATGCTATTGTCCCCTAGTGCCAAAGGGCCTCTAGTCCAACTGGTTAGAGCGACCCGGCGGCACTACTCAGGTCCTGGGTTCGACTCCCCATGGGAGCGAATTTCAGGCTAGCGTTAAAAAAAATCCCCTCGTCTGTCCCACACGCCAAAGCACAGGTCTAAGGACCGGCCCGTTCTCACAAGGCGACGGTGCCGCTGTGTAAGGGTGGGGCAGGGGTTCGGGGGTTTTCTGGGCCTGCGTGAGAAGGTCTTCTTCTTAATGCAATGCCTGGGGGTGGTCATACCCTCGCAGATCCAGTTTTTTCTATTGTCCCCTAGTTTAAATCATAAATGAACATATAAGTACTGTTCCCTTGTACACACATGTTGTTATTTGATGGCTGCTGTTTATTCTATGAGTAAGTATTTGATTTCTATTATTTATGGTTATCTACATATGCCTGACTATGTTGACCTTTTCTTCTGTTCAGCCATGAGTTGCTGATGTTTGAGGCCCTTCGTGAAGCCTTGATAGAAGAGATGAATTTGGATCCAACAGTGTGCGTCATGGGTGAAGATGTTGGTCACTATGGAGGTTCATACAAGGTGACCAAAGGGTTGGCTGAGATGTTCGGAGATCTTCGGGTTCTTGATACCCCTATCGCTGAGAACTCCTTCACCGGCATGGGAGTTGGAGCAGCAATGAAGGGGCTGAGGCCTGTTGTGGAAGGCATGAACATGGGTTTCCTTCTCCTTGCCTACAACCAGATCTCAAACAACTGTGGTATGCTTCACTACACCTCAGGCGGTCAGTTCAAGATCCCGATTGTGATCCGAGGCCCTGGTGGTGTTGGTCGACAGCTTGGTGCTGAGCACTCACAGCGTCTGGAGTCATACTTCCAGTCAATCCCTGGCCTTCAAATGGTTGCTTGCTCCACTCCATACAATGCCAAGGGCCTGATGAAGGCAGCCATAAGGAGCGAGAACCCTGTGGTGCTGTTTGAGCACGTCCTCCTATACAACCTGAAGGAGAAAATCCCTGACGAGGAATACATCTGTTGCCTGGAGGAGGCGGAGATGGTGCGCCCAGGTGAGCATGTGACCATCCTCACGTACTCCCGCATGAGGTACCATGTGATGCAGGCCGCCAAGACCCTGGTGAACAAAGGGTACGACCCCGAGGTCATCGACATCAGGTCGCTGAAGCCGTTCGATCTGCACACCATCGGGAACTCGATCAAGAAGACCCACCGTGTGCTGATCGTGGAGGAGTGCATGCGGACGGGCGGCATCGGCGCCAGCCTGAGGTCGGCCATCATCGACAACTTCTGGGACTACCTGGACGCCCCCATCATGTGCCTGTCATCGCAGGACGTGCCGACCCCGTACGCCGCGACGCTGGAGGACGCCACCGTGGTGCAGCCTGCGCAGATCGTGGCCGCTGTCGAGCAGATCTGCCAATAACCGGCTTTGTTGAGTTACCTGATTTGTGGATTCAGATTACTGTGTTTTGTTTCGTTGTCACATAGTGACTGCCATTGTGCCTTAGACATGTATTCTATTTTGCAACGCAGAAGCCATACTCATACGAATGCCTTTTGTGTCCTGGGTCGTTTGTTCACTGTGCAGAGTTGGATGCCCTTTGTTTGTTCTTGTACATCACTATTAGGTTTCAGCATTGGTTTGTAGCAGCGCCGTGTTGGTTCTTCTATTTATTTATATGATAATCGATTGGGTATTGGAGTGTGACATCCTAATATCCTATCAGCATGATGATGAATTGCTGATGCAGAGACTCGGTCCCATTAGGTTCACTTCTGCACCTGAATTTGTTGGTTGCATCTTCGATGTTTTATTTATTCGTCTAGTTCTAGTTCTCTGAAAAAACTTAAAACTCATTCGGGCATTGTATCTTCTGCAGTCAGATTTTAATTCTCCCATTTCCGTTGCAGCTTGAGCCTTGCGCTCGTCTTCATCTTCATGTAGATCAAACCTGGTATATTGCTAAAACACATGTACTAACACATGTTGCTTATCTAGGCAACATGTCATGTTTTAGACCAAACAAGATGGCTCGAGCTGTTCACAAGCATACAGTGAGCCGTGCGACTGTGCGGGCTAGCAGTGGCTGGCTGGCTGCAGCAGCAAGGCAATCTTTTTGTAACTTCGATCAGAATCAGATTTTGGTTGGATGAAAAATGTATTCTATCCATCAGAAGCAAATCATCTGCCTTTGTTCTTGTGAACCAAACGTGGCGATGAATGCAGAAGAGACCGAAACCTGTTTGATCTGAAGAATATCTGGTGTCAGAGCATATTATGACATGGATCTAGAAGGATTCGGCTGTTATGACGAGATACAGTTAGTTTTTATCCACGCCATCACGTTCGGCATCAGAACGGTCAGAAAACGATCGGAGGAGGCCTAAATTATCATTATCATTTTTATATTTTCTTACGGAAATGTCAAATGACAGCGAAGACGGTATTGCCGGAAATGAATAAAGCGTCACTGGGCGGGCCCAGCGGGTAGTCAGGTAGGTCCAGAACTACCCTGCAATCTGGCCCAAAAATTTTTTACTTCTCTGCAGCCCAAGACAATTTTGGCCCAGGAATTTTTTTCATCTCGCCCAACGCCCAGGCAGAGGTTTTCTCTAAAAAAAACGCCCAGGCAGAGGCAGGACATCGACCGCGACCATCGACCCCGCCCCTCCCCTGCCGGCCGTCAGCCGCCGGCAGCCTCCGCGCCGGCTGCCCGCCCCACCATCGCTGCCACCGCCGGCCGGCGGCCGCCGCCCGCCCGCCCCACCCCTGCGCGGCCGCGCGCTCCGCGGCTCCGCCGGCAGGTCCTCCGGCGGCAGGCGCCGGGTTCGCCGAAGCCGCCAAGCAGCTTGCCGGGCCAGCAGGAGGCCGTCCAGGCGTCCAGCCTGCGTGCGCCGCCTGGCCCCTGCCCCTGGTGGCCTATTGACTTGCCTAGTGAGTGCTTCTGACTTCTCAGCTTAGGGTTTGGAGATTGTACTGTAAATCGGGCTTAGGGGTTGTGGATTTGTGAGCTGAGTGAAACTAGTTGAACTTCCCGCGTTGCCGCGGGAATCAGTGGTGATTTTTCAGTTGAATAATGGCCGACGAAGCTGAATATCAATGATGTAGCTTGTTGGAGAGCATGCTTAACGTGTTGGAGTAGACCACTGAAAACACTCTAGGCAATTGTATTGTTGGTACTAAGTGACATAGCTGTACTTTTATACCATTTAATTTAGATATAGATAGGGTAAGAAAGCATGGTTAATTTATACTATAAGTGACTATTTGTGTAAGTTTCGGACCTATTTATGTAAGTTTTGAACCTTTTAAATGTTTTATCGCAATTTGGTTAATTTATAGCCATGTATACCGAACTTTTTTTTTTGATTTTATCGCAGTTTTTGGATTTATAGTCAATTAAGTTTTGAACTTTTTTTAGTCGAAACGGACGGTCGAGGCAACGTTGCCGTCGCGGCGTGCGAGCGAGCCGCAAGGCGCCGAGCACTTGCAGCGGTGAGGCGGCGTGCGCACCGCGGCAGCGGAGTGGCTAGCCGTTGGGCGGCTGGGTGGGGCGGCGGCTCCTCCTGGCCCTTGCTGAGGCACCGAGCGGAGGGTGGAGGCCACAGCAAGGCGGCAGTGGCCGGCAGCAGGCCAACTGCTGTGAGCCCATGACTGGGAGGCCGGCAGCCGGGTGCCATCTGCTGTCTGCTGATTCGAGTAGAGGACTAACCGGCAACCGTTAATTCAAATTGTAAGTTAATTTGGTCAACTGGCTTACCATTTCAATGCATTATCGATCGCATACGGCATACCATTATTTATGAAAAATTGAAACTGAGACAGTGTCTAAGGCAGTGAAATTTGCTTAGAGTACTTTGCGTCTTTACTGTTTCACCAATGTTTATCATTTTGTTGTTTCATATCTTGTCCTCTATATATTTCAGATGTTTACACTTTCATATGTTTTATACCCTCTATATATTTCAGATGTTGGCAATTCAATATGTCATTATGTTGAACAATTGGTATTTATATATGTTAAATAATTTCAAGTTATGCTCATTTCTATGAATATATGAAATCGTGCTCAATAATGTGTTATATCCTTGTATATTATACATCTACTACTATGTGGTATTATAACATGCCAAGTAGGGCTTCAGGTACAAAAAAAATTTGAATACCCAACCTCAGAATCCTGGGCCTGCCACCTACTATATGTTGTACTATTGTTGTCACATGTTCACTTATTATTATAGCTGTCAAATCTAGCTTCTAGATCCAGTGTTTCATGTGTAACATTACTTTTCAATCTAATTCAGACCAACTATCACCCTAGCTGTATTTGTGTCTTTAGTATGTCTGTTGCTAAGTTGTGTATTGCAGACCTTTCTGCGATTTTGTGCAACCTGCTATTTCCATCGTGTTTATTTGCATCTTTTTCATGTGTGTATAGGCCCCCTCTTAAATGTGTATAGGCCCCCTCTTAAATTTGACTGTCACTTAGGGACTCCTTTCCCTGAGAAGAAGCTGAGGCTGGGATATACAATGACTGTTGGATCACGTGTGGTGGTGATAGACAATGGGGGTGGCCTTCTCAAGGCTGGCTTTGGCGGAGACAATGATCCAATTGCTGTTGTCCCCAACTGTATGGCCAAACCCCCTGGTGGTAATGCTAATTCCAAAAAATGGCTGGTTGCTGATCAGCTGCAGGCAGAAGATGTCGATGTGACTGGCATGACACTGAAGCGTCCTATTGATCGTGGCTATCTTATCAATACCGAGGTGCAGAAGGAGGTGTGGGAACGGGTTTTATGCAATCTTCTCCAGGTTGATCCTACCAACTCATCCCTGTTACTGGTGGAGCCATTGTTTAACCCTCCAGCGCTGCAACATGCAACTGACGAGCTGGTGTTCGAGGAGTTTGGTTTCAACTCTCTTTGTGTTGCAGATGGTCCTTCCCTTGTCCACCTTTATGAGGCTAGCCGCCAACCAATGTTCTTTCGTGCCCAGTGCAGCCTTGTTGTTGACTGTGGCTTCTCTTTCACCCACGCGTCCCCTGTGCTTCAGAACTTTACTCTGAATTATGGCGTTCAGCGTATGGACCTTGGTGGCAAGGCCCTTACAAACTATCTCAAGGAGCTTGTCTCATATCGTTCCCTTAATGTCATGGATGAAACTCTCCTCATTGATGATGCAAAGGAAAAGCTATGCTTTGTCTCGCTTGATGTCCCAGGTGACCTTCACCTTGCCAGGTCTGCTGCCTTCATAATCTATCACCGTATATATCATATTTTCAATTCTTCTTTCCATTTGTTTAGGGTTAATGTATAATGATAGTTTCAATTAAATTTCAAGGTCACAGCAACCTTGATTTTGAAATGCCATCTAGGAACATGCAGCATTTGGACTCTGCCTGTGCCTGTGTAACCAATTTAACTGCCTCTATCGATAGCCTGTTATTTTCCAAACTTGATTTTATAACTTACTGAACAGAGTGCATGTGCATATATGTGTGGGGGAGGACAAGGTTTTGTAAGTGAAACTTCACTTGGCATTGCAAGGCATGAAATACCTTAACATTTGAATTTCAAGAATGCAAAACTTATCTCCAGCAAACAAACAAACAAATAAATGAACCAAGCATAATGGATTATGTTTCTGGAATCATCCTATACTTGGGTTATGTTTTCTCCATGTTGTTGTTTAAAATGTCTTCTTCAAACACACTGGATTTACAGTGCCAAGAGATGATTTTCTCTCTGGATGCTATGGAATGCCCACCCATGATAGGTGAATGTTAGTGCCTTAGTGGTGACAAATTTTCTTTGCTGAAAGGTTGTTTAAAAGTATCATCCTAAAGTATATTGTGCTGCATTACGTAAAAAAACATGTTAAATGATGTAAAATCACATTCCTTCAAAGTTGGAATGCTACTAATTAGTTGACTGAACCAAGGGATTTTATGCTACTCAAATCACTTAGCAGCTTGCTGTGCAATTGCTTGGCAGATTATCATTTAAGGACAACCCTTTTAGGTGTTCTTACATTCTCCCCGATGGTATAGCATACAAGAAAGGGTTTGTCAAGGACATGGATGAAGCACTTAGATATCGCTCTCTGCCTCTTGATGAAGAAGCAGAGAAAAAAGAACATGGCATGGATATAAATAAGTCGGAGGATCGGAAAAAGCCAGAATTAAGTCAAAATGTAACATCGTTGCCTCTTTGGTCTCAGTTGCCTTATGTTTTTATGGTATTATTAATGAAGTTATAATTCTGTAGGAATTTGTATTGACAAATGAAAGGTTCCTTGTCCCGGAGATGTTTTTTCATCCAATCGATCTTGGTTAGTGTCAATGTGAAATGTCCTGTATACTTTTGCTCATAAGATTTTAAATATATTCTCATTTGTGATATCAATTCTCAAATTGTTTTGGGAAACATATCATTCTTATGATTTCCTTCTTTTCATTTTGTTTCGTAAAAACATCGCAAAACACAATAATAATTTGTTCCATTTGCAATGAATTCAGATAAACCATCAGCTGTTTTTCTGATTTTTTTTTTTTTGGGGGATGGGGATTTGCATGTTAAACATTGAGATGCAAATCTAGTCACATATAATTCTTGCCAGAGACTCAAGAGTTGCTATTCACTTGACCTGTTAGTTTGGATCTACTTACTGAATTTCACATCTATCATTCTTCTTTTCCTTATACTTTGGCTAACAATAGAAGAAGGGCAGGCCTGGTGCAGTGGTGAGAGCTGTCTCACTGAGTCATCAGGTCACGAGTTCGAAGCAGCCTCTCCGCAGATTTTGCGGGGGAAGGCTTGCCTCAGTTTTTCCCTTCCCCAGACCCCCTTCATGTGGGAGCCTCCGGCACTGGGTCTGCCCTTTTTTTTTGGCTAACAATAGAACACAAGACATTGATGTTTTGTTCATTTTTCTTCTGCATAGGAGTATTGTTTGGGGTTGGCACATTGTTTAAGCTGCTCATTTTTTCCATGCTAATCTCTACTGTGCATATTTATAGGCATAAATCAAGCTGGACTTGCTGAGTGTATAGTTCGTGCTGTACAAGCTTGCCATCAATATCTTCAACCTGTGCTTTTTGAGAGGTATCGTTTACATCTGCACTTGTTTTGATCTTTGAATATGCTATGCATGTGAGTTTACATTGTTGTCCTGTTTCCAGCATCATCTTGACAGGCGGAAGCACACTGTTCCCCAGATTCACTGATAGACTGTAAGTTGTTTCATTAGCATTATATATAGACACTATATGCTTTTTTTTCCGTTGCAAAGGGGCCATCAGATACACTTGTTATTTGGTGTATTTCGAGGTGGTCACTGAGATTGCACTAATTGTATTGACAGGGAGAGGGAACTTCGGCCTCTTGTCCCTGACAACTACAAGGTTAAAATAACTCGTCAAGAGGAGTATGTCTCTCTCTCCCTCTATATATCACAGTCTCCGTCTTATACATGCCCAAATTTTTCAGAGGCAGCTACTGAGAAGAGAAACATCCCATGTATTTGAATGATATTAACACTCGGTTACTTGTAGCCCAATTCTTGGTGTCTGGAGAGGCGGATCTATTCTGGCATCAACTCCTGATTTCGAATCAATGTGCATTACAAAGTCTGAGTACGAGGAGATGGGATCAGCAAGGTGCCGACGAAGGTTTTTCCACTGAAGAGTAGAGCTTGATAATTTAGTTGTATGTGAAATTAGAAGTTCGGTTTACAGTAGTAACTCCTCTGCGCCTGGGATTTTTTTTAGTAAAAAAATCTTTCTTGTAGTTAACTTTTCAGTAGATACCTCATGTACCCGCTGATCTGATCTCACAACTGTAGCTAGTCATGAGATTGAAATGGCAAGCTGCCAAGCTGGTTCATCCTTGCATATGATCCTTACTGCCTTAGCGCAATTTTTTTTTTGCCCCATTTCTATTGGAGATGCAATGCAACATACATCGTCGTGAACTGCTTGAAGCATTTTAATTTTTTTTGGGCACAACCAAGCAAGACTGAAAATGAGCTTCAGTGTTCAAAATTTAGAACTTTGCTGGCAATATGGCTTTTCCACTTGTGCATGAGATTTAAAGGCGATTAAGGTTGTAAGAATTGAATTGTGAGGAAGATAGAGAAGAGATTTGCGTTTGTCAGCGAACTTTCTCATTTCCTTTTGTTTGTCTTTTGTCCCGGCAAAGTTTATCCACGCGTGGAGTACATACTTCCACAATACTTTTTCAATTTTTTTTTTTGATAATCTTTTCAAATTCTAGCTCTAAACTCACCCGTCCCATTCTCCAGCAAGTGAAGGGAAGCATGCTTCCAACATCCAAGAAGCTCGACGCTTGAGTTTCCATCCCTTTATTATGCCCAGATCAGAGTCGTGTGTGTCGTCCAACCCAGGCCGTGGCGTCGGAGATCAGTGTACGCTGCTGGCCTGATTTTCGCTTGCTTTCGGGGCAATGACAAAGGAAGCACACCGTGCGCACGAAAGCAAAGGTGATGTTAGGCTGAGCACAGCCCTATTCGCTTGTCAATCGGCTTATCATGGTATTTTTCTCTCACAACAAAATAGCTTCATATCAGCCTAGCTTGTGCGCGGGTGTCCTCGAAAATGGAATGAGTGGACGGGAGCATTCCACGTCCGCGCATGCAACTTTGCTGCTGCTTTTTTCTACGCGAGCCGTGTACTGCGTTTGTTACCTGTACGTGCACTCCATTTTTTTTTCTACGGTAGCCGTGGGCATGCACTGCATTTTGTTTTTTTTTTCCCACAGCAGCCGTGCACTGCATTAGGGAAGCCTTTTCAATGCTATTGACCGACGTCGACGAGATCAAACAGTCAAGGAAGCAATGCTGCAGCGAACCTGGCCGGGTTCGGGACATCGTGGGGGCCGGCGCCCACTGCTCCCGTCGTCCTCTGTGACTATATGTCGCACTCTGGGAGAAGCTCGAGAATGTGCATTTGCAGGCAGCAGTACCAGATAGATTCATCTGGCGTTGGACTCCGGACGGCAAGTACTCAGCTTCCTTGGCCTACCGATCGTTCTTCAATGGCATGCATGCCGTCGCTGATCGGTGCAAAGTGGGAGGTTAAGGTTCCGGCGAAGGTCAAGTTCTTCTGGATTGCCCTTCATGGTCGTCTTTGGACCGCTGAGCGGCGCTGGCGCCACCACCTCCTGGCGTACGTCGTGCGTCTACGCAAGAGAGACTTGGTACCGTTTCCTTCACTTGGCGGGTATGCAAGCCTTTGCGCCTCAGGCTGATGCTACCTTGGTGGATTGGTGGCTGACAACTAGAAAAGTGGTGACTAAAGCTGCTAGATTGGGCTTCGACTCGGCGGTGTTGCTCACATCTTACAATCTTATGGAAGGAACGCAACGCAACCGGAGAACGTTTGACAAGGTCTCAAGAACGCCGCAAGAGCTCATACGTGCTATCATTGAGGAAGCAAGCAGCTGGGTTGCCCCTGGTTACTCCAGCCTGTCGCCGGTGATCGCCGCTGCGGACCGCTAGCGTCGGTGTTCAACTTCTTCCAACGTCGCAAAACGGGTGTTTTATAGTTAGTTACAATTACGTGCAATCCACCGTCTAGCGGTGCCTCGTGTTTGTGTTTACCCAATCACCAATGGCATCTCGTCATGAAGTGACTTTGGGCATGTAATCATTTTCTAACTCCTTAACGAAATATGTGCCACGCATGCGTAAAAAAAATGGACGATGGACAGCAAAGAGAGCGGTGTCACGTCTGGAAGCCTTTCCTTTTCTTGTGACCCACACGATTCAGGCTGGACTGCAGGAGTAGGACAGGACTGGACTTGACGAGCCCGGCGTGCGGCCAGGACGAGCCAGCCAGGGGCAGGCAGCCACGGCGGTTGCTGGGAGCCGGTGGGTGGACACCTGCCACATGGGCCGCTCGCGCCCGCCCGACTTCGATTTGTGTCCCTCGGCCGAATGCTGCTGCAGCAGCGGCTGCGACCGGTGGGGTGGAAGAGTGTGGAACCACGACGCCCATGTAAAGACATTGATTATCATAATAATTCTAAGGCATGCCAAATTGAGGTTGCTTGATCGATAACATAATCGGTCGTCTTACCCTCTAATCTATCAAAGTGTGCCATAGGTATATATTGACAACAATCATAGATTATTATTAATAAAGGTCTTTTGATCTTGCAACATCTAATTAGCATGAGTAGGGTACCGAATCAGTTACCTCTTCATTAACCTTCACCTCGGATGCAGCGGATGTAGAAGCAATAGAATCTCCAAAGTTGGATTCACGGAATTAAGTGACTTTGTCGTGTCGATCCTTAGTACAACTTTCAAGGAAAGCTTTTAGATCGGCATCCTCCTCAAGCGATGTCGGATGGTTGATATTCTTAGGATTGAAGCGATCGGTGCAATCCTCTCCACTCTTGTCCGATATGTTGCTACTAGATTGGATCTTGATCTTCTTCTGCCCCAGTGGAGTCGTCAAAAAGTGTGTTAACACCAAACAGGAACCAGATCACATCACACACCATCAAGGGCTAGCAAGCCCACGATTGCAAACAACCTTGATCGCAGCAAGAATGCAACGGATCAACGAAAGAGGGGTCGGCTAGGCCGATGTTGAGCTCGTTCTTCATTTGGTAGACTTCCGAACACCTCCTGGGAAGACCCGTCGAGGAGGAGCACGTTAAGGGTGTGCTATGGTCGGCAAGGCCACCTAGAACGACGCCAAATTTTGTCGGAAGACGTGACAAACAACAAGATAAAGAGAGGAGAGAGGGCAAACAGTGTAGTAAATGTGTTTTTTTGACGATTGGGAAATTGGGATCCAAAACACGTTCTCAAAGTTTCCCACGTCAAAACAGATTAAAAACTGATTTAGAAACAAACCGATTCGAAATCCAGTCAAAAGTCAGCCTAGCCGACTTAGTTGGCTAGGTCAAGATTCACATGTCTGGGCGTCGTGGTCGGCCCGTCAACATGCAAGTTGCCCTGTTCGGCTTTGGGCCCGGCCTGACCGACTCTGGGGACCTGGCTGGTTGTCTGTCCGGCCGGCTTCAGGTAGAGTTCGGGGTCGTATTTTTCTCCATTTCGCTTTGCGCTTTCAATTGTGTCGCACCAAATATTTTCTAGCACGTCTTCTATGTCAGGAACTTGATGGTGCAGCCTAACATTTTTGCGTGACAACACCTACCAAATTTGTCAACTTGAGGCACCCGCCCCTGACTTGTTAATCAGCACCTCAACTAGAGCATTCTTGAGTAATATCCATGCCATACTTATATATTTAGCAATTTGCTAAGCAAGTGTTTTGTATTTCAGTTGGTGCCCCTCTTTATTTGTCCTTAGCTTAAGGCTATACTCATTCTGTCACTCAAATGTGAATGCCAGAGACCAGAACATTTTCGATGCCTTAATCTAAAAGAATATGTCCTTTAGCTTGCAAAGTAAATTTGGCCATGTGTTATGTATCGTTCATGAAAAACCCACCCAATGTGTGCACTTTTTTTTGACAAAATTTGAAGTACTGAAGTGTAATTATTTATTTTGAGGCGGATGGATGGAGTATATATACGCATGTATTCCAAGTGCACATGAATCATGTTGCATCGGTGAAGTGAAGCTTTGTACTAGCAGCAGAACTAGAACATGTCCCCTGTCCTAGAATGCAACATACGAGTACACATCTATACATGCACCGTTGTCAATGTTCTTCTTCTCAACGTTTGGTTTGGTCGTCAGATTTAGAATACGTATACGGAGATTTTGTCAATTATTGTTGTCAAAATGATGTGTATCACACTCAAGTCAAAATATTGGGATAAAAATACATACGTAGACCTTTGAAATAAATGCAAACTTGCCCATTATATTTACCGTTGAATTGACACTGTGAAACTAGTTTCTTGATGAAATAATCATCAACTGCAAAAAGGCAGAGTCAAAACCACTGGATTCAAAAAAAAAAAAAAAATGGGAGCAAAATCACTAGTAATCCTTGAAGCAGGGCCGTAAACACAAATCCTTCACCTATGAATGCCCTGTTCACTAGGCTGATAAGCCATGGCTGAAAGTACTGTTGACTGATTTGTCATGAGAGAAAAATACTGTTCGTTAGCTGAAAAAGTATGGCTTATAAGCCAAGCAAACGGGGCGAAAGTCATGATAAACTAGTACTCCAGATTTGTGCCGAGCAGAGAATGGCGTACGTTTTGGCGAATTGGGGAAACATATCGGGCGGGGTTTGTTTAGTGCTGAGGTAGAGTGGTTAACTCATCCGAAATACTGGGGTTCGTTTAATTTAATTTAAACAGGCACGATAAATTTGGGATTTCGTGGAAGTGGAAAGGGGAATGTAGCCAGCCCGTGAAGTGGAACCAGAACTAACGCAAGCGTTTTCAGCATTACCCAACAATCAAACACATCACAGGTTCGCTGATTAGGCCCGCCCTCTAGGTGTTCGTAGGCAGCAGGCTAGCGGGCGGTCCTGCGCTCGTTTGCATTCCAATCGTGTCCTGCTCCTCCTGCTTCACACTCACCCATCACCAATGCATGATGCAGTGTGGTCAGATTCATCATCTCTGCATTTGATTGATGGGATCGACAAGCCTGCTGTGCTATGACCAGAGGGAGGAACGGCACGACGATACTGGCAAAAAAAAAAACTACGCGACACCGTCTCACGACG